AAAACATGCTTAGCAACGATGAGCTCTTAACTTTGATGGGAAGATCCGCCTCATTACAGTTTTGCATATTTTTCTTAGTCCCCTACAAAAAAATTCATATCTCATCATTCGTTAATCATACAGCAAAACTCTAAAGGAGTTATTTGTAGAAAATTAAATGTTCTACAAAAAAGATTTTTTATACTTTTTTGATCAATTTAACTATTAAAGAGATATTCAAGGTCAAAGATTGAAGAATTTTAAGAAAGATAACTTTTCTGTTCGGAATTTTGTAACTTACTGAAAAAAAATTATCGACAATTGAGATTTTACTTTGTCTATCGGAAATTGAACGCTCTACAAAAAAAGTCTCTTAGGATTTATCGATTACTCTAACCAATCAAAAGATATTCGCATAATTTTGGAATACCCTGTATATATTAGGGTGGGTCAAAAAAATCGACTATTTTTATTTCGACTTCTGCAACTGAAAAATCGGTTTCTGGGCACTTTCAAAACATGCTTAGCAACGATGAGCTCTTAACTTTGATGGGAAGATCCGCCTCATTACAGTTTTGCATATTTTTCTTAGTCCCCTACAAAAAAATTCATATCTCATCATTCGTTAATCATACAGCAAAACTCTAAGGGAGTTATTTGTAGAAAATTAAATGTTCTACAAAAAAGATTTCTTATACTTTTTTGATCAATTTAACTATTAAAGAGATATTCAAGGTCAAAGATTGAAGAATTTTAAGAAAGATAACTTTTCTGTTCGGAATTTTGTAACTTACTGAAAAAAAAATATCGACAATTGAGATTTTACTATGTCTATCGGAAATTGAACGCTCTACAAAAAAGGTCTCTTAGGATTTATCGATTACTCTAACCAATCAAAAGATATTCGCATTGGAATATCAGTGCAAACATCAATTGCAAAAAGAAAGTTTTTAATTTCAAATTTTGTAGAAAAAGAAATATGAGTTACATATTATATAAGTTACATATTGAATAAGTTACATATTAGATAAATCCGTTAAAATAAATAAACGAACCTAAACCGTGATAAGAGTGAAAGTATAGAAAAAAATTATTGTTAAGCAATTGATTGAAAGCAATACATTCTCAAACGAAAGATAAGACATAATTTGGGAACTGACATTTGATCAAGATGAACTTAAATTTTATGAATTATCTCATAATTTATAAATTACACAGATGAATTGGAAAAAGTCATTTTTCCATTTAATATGGAATTGACTTTATCTCAAAAACTCGTCTACTTTCATAATTTTTGAGGGTATTTTCGGATTAATTAACCCCATTTCCCCCCCTTATCGACGCCCTTGTATTATATACATTTATATACAGTGAGCGCGTTAAAATCCCCCCTGTTAACTTTTGAACCAAATAATAGTATATTATGTATCAAGTTTTATAAACGCCATTTTAGATACGAGTTTAATTAAGCACGAGCGAAGCTTGCGAGCGAGTGTTTAATAAAAACGAGTGTCTAGATAAGTTTATAAACGAGTTGCATACTATACTTTATCTACGACGAACACAAAACAGAATTTAAAGCCAATTTTATTTGTTAAAATTTTGACATCTGTCAACTGTCACCCGAATTTAACCTCACTTTTTCCCAATTTATAATAAAGCTAACTTCAGCCCGTGGCGTAAAATGTCGAAAAGCCACTGTTGTTAACTTCAGCCCGTCAATAAAACGCCATAAAGTCACAGCTCGTCAATGTAGGAGTAGATAAAATATATAAGACTATATTGTGTTTACTACTTTTTGACGTCAAAATGACATTTTTTGCCTAACAAGTGCCAAGAGGGCAGTATCAACTTTAAAATTTTAAATGGAAAGGGGGTGCTTGTGATACCTCATTTGAAAGGTATTTTAATTCTCTATATAACACCTTTTTTGTTTTTAAAATCCGTTTAACCATAGCTTAGTTATTAGGGCTTAATTTTTTTAAAAACACGTTTTATTTTGGTTTTAATTTATTAAGAAAAATTTAAATTAGATGTTCGAAATGTTTCCCTTGGACAGCTTGACACACAAATAGCCTATCTTTAAATTCATTTCTAACATTAGCAAAAGTTTCTTGCGTAATACTAGCACATTCACGTCCAATCCGGTGTTTAAGATCATCTATGGTTTCCGGTTCTGTAATGTAGACCTTCGATTTTAATTATCCCCATAAAAAAAAGTCAAGTGTCGTTAAATCGGGAGAACGAGCCGGCCATTCGGTAGGACCACGCCTACCAATCCACCGATTTGGGTAACTTTTATCAAGCCATATTGTCTAACATCCCTAAAATAATGTGGGGGCGCTCCATCCTGCTGAAATATGACTTCTCTGTCAAATTCATCAGGATAGGTATTGATTATTTCCTCAATCATTGGTTGAATTTGGGTTTGAAGCATGTTAAGATACAGAATACCTGTCAAATTTTGTTCCAAAAAGATGGGGCCTACGATGTGGTTTCCCAGTATTCCCGTCCATACATTAACTTTTTGCGGATACTGGGTGTGACCTTCTCGAAAAAAAGGTGGATTAACATCTGACCAGTAGCGTACATTTTGTCTATTAACAGTACCATTTAGAAAAAAAGTGGATTCATCACTTATGTAGAGTGGATTTTGTGCTATGCGCTCACACATAAGTTCACAAAATTGCATTCGGTGATCAGGGTCATCTTCAGTTAGTTGGTGGAGTATTTAAAGCTTGTAGGGATAAAATTTGTTCTTCTTTAAATATTTCCTAACAGTTGTTTGAGATACAACACAAGTCTCTGCAACTGCGGCATTCGATTGTTGTGGAATATTGACAACCGAACCAACTATTTGCACCTGTTTCTCTTCGGAAATTGATTTCCTTCCCGATCCTTTCTGCCTACCCACACTTCCACTTGTTTGAAATTTTGCCACCAAATCCCGTAGATAATTCCTGCAAATTGGGTTTTATGGGTACCTTTCATTAACACCCTTTCTGTTTCGTGCAAATTTTGCCCCATTTCACCATAAATAAAAATAGCCTCCGTTTTTTCTTCTAATGGGCGATGTCGAACCATTTTACATTCAAATATTACTTTAAATTGAATGAACAACTAACAATGTAATACTAAAGATATTAATTATTTTATTTTTGTATCTTCTTAAAAACAGAATATTGGTATTTAAACAAAAAAGTTGGCAAAAAACGCATAATTATTGCACTGGTTTGCAATAATTCGCACTCTGCAAAAATGTGAGTAGAAGCGACAAAATCGCTTAATAACTAAGCTATGGTTAAACGGATTTTAAAAACAAAAAAAGTTTAAATAGAGAATTAAAGTACCTTTCAAATGAGGTATCACAAGCACCCCTTTCCTTTTGAAATTTTCAAGTTGATACTGCCCTCTTGGCACTTCTTCGGAAAAAAAATTTCATACTGACGTAAAAAAGTAGTAAACACAATATTGTTTACCCTGGTCTTTGTCCGACATCGATATCTTTTTTGGTTCAAAAGTTAACAGGGAGGGGGTTAACGCGCTCACTGTATATATAATATATATACAGTGTGTTCCATTTAAAACGAACCACCCTAAATTTCTCGGAACCTGAAATTTTTTTGAAAAAACGCCGAGACACGTAAAGTTTTATATCGAGGGGGACAACTTTTCATGTCAAATTTTGGTTTCTCACCCCTACCCCTTGCGCCCAGGAGCTACCCCCTTAAGAATTTGAATAGGGAAGGGGTATCCACCAATACATCATTTTAAAGGTCTTTCAAATCCCTATATATCAATGTTTTATTTTTTAAAATCGGTCTGTTTATTTTTGAGATATTTTAGAAAAACCATGCAATATGCTTTTAAAACTTCCCACCTTAAATTTTTCGAAAACTGGAAGAATTTGGAAAAAAGGCGGACACACATAAAGTTTTATATCGAGGGGCACATTTTTGGCGCTACTGCTACTTTAACCTCCTTGAGTTCTGCAACCCCTAACTCAAAAATCCTAAATTTCAAAAGGTATCATGTGACACATTGCAAATTAAACGAGCTTTAAAATGATGTACCACATGATACTTTTTGCAATTTAGGATTTTTGAGTTAGGGGTTGCAGAACTCAAGGAGGTTAAAGTAGCAGTAGCGGCAAAAAATGTGCTCCTCGATATAAAACTTTATGTGTGTTCGCGTTTTTTCCAAATTCTTCCAGTTTTCGAAAATTTTAAGGTGGGAAGTTTTAAAAGCATATAGCATGGTTTTTTTAAAATATCTCAAAAATAAACAGACCGATTTTAAAAAATAAAACATTGATGTATAGGGATTTTAAAGACCTTTAAAATGATGTATTGGTCGATACCCCTTCCCTATTTAAATTCTTAAGGGGGTAGCTCCTGGGCGCAAGTGGTAGGGGTGAGAAACCAAAATTTGACATGAAAAGTTGCCCCCCTCGATATAAAACTTTACGTGTCTCGGCGTTTTTTCAAAAAAATTTCAGGTTCCGAGAAATTTAGGGTGGTTCGTTTTAAATGGAACACACTGTATATATATTATATATACAGTGAGCGCGTTAACCCCCTCCCTGTTAACATATATATATATATATAATATATAATCTATACAAAATTATTATTATCTGGGTGTGAAAACAACCTAACATTTGTATTTTTCCTGACTTTTTAGTTATTGACTGTATACAGGGTAATAAACAATCAATCCGATAAATTTTATTCATATATTCACTATTATAAGTCAATTTTAATAAATTTATTTGGGTCCGTCAAACCCAATTTTGTGTAAATTAATTAGTTTTTTGTAAGAAACTGGGTCCAAATGTTCCTCCTTTTTACTGTTACCAAAAATTAAAATGTTGACAATTTTTAACTGGATTTCTGTTGAACTACTATTCCATTTGTTATAAAATAATTCTCTTATCGCATGTTTTTATTCTATACCTTGTTTAACCTTTGTTATTATTAGTAGTATTGTGTGCTATTTATAATTTCTAGAGATGTACTTACCCCTGGCTTCGTGGAATTCCAGTGCAATATGCGCATCAACTCCCAGAGAGAAGTAGTTGTTAACAACGTTTAGTGGCAAGTTTTCCTTTGCTGGATCAGACTTATCGCCAGCATCATTCGGTGTTACTTCTAATTGCCACCGGTCCAAGGAGATGGTTTCGCTCAGAGACAAGTGGCTCAGGATTTTCGAGATCGGTTCGTCTGTGTAACCCTATGTTAAATATTTATTAATAAAATGGTTTTCTAAAATTAACCTAAATACATAATTATGCGCAAATTTAGTTAACAATGCTTCTATAAACATAATTAATGTTTAGTTTATGTTTTTGGGTCTACATATAGGTATAACATTTATATTTTTGTTTTGTGTAGCAAACTAAACGTGTTTTTAATATAACCCATAATTGGTTTAAAATATTTAATAATTTTCTAAAAAAATACAGGTGTAAATCAACAACGTTATTAAGTAATTGTTATTTTTATTATAAGGTCAACAAGTGAGTATTTTTGTGCTTAGCTTAAAGACCCCAAGCAACAATTTAAGTATTTGTTACGTATATGGGACTATTGAAGAAACTTAAGTCGCCGGTCACTTTATATTACTCTTTCATTACTAAGTTACGACTAAAGTGGGGAACAATTATTGAGTTCCAAAAAGGTAACAAATATGTCACTAGCTATAAACTTTGCTACTATTTGGAACGTAGCTGCTACGTTACTAGAACGTTTCAATATCGTTGCTAGAGCGTTATAATTACTTTTATTTATTTGTTTTTACTGTCTTTGTCAAACTAATATTAGATTATACTATCCCTCCTTTTTAAATGGAACCACTACGGACTTGGCTTTTCAATGTCGTCGTTTATTAAATATGTACTGGTAGTTTATAACTTTCAGAATAACAATATAATGTTAAATTAGGCAGGTAAATTTATAAACCCTTTAAATTTTACTCTTGTACTTATGAATTTAGTTTTTGTAAAATAAATGCGCTTCATCAGTATTTAAGTATAAACAAATTATATATTTAATTATTAATACCGTCTATTACCGACAAAATTACTATTCATTAAAAAGTAAACAACCATTTACAAACAATTAAAATAATTTATTATTTACATTACCATGTGGTACTGTACAGTAAAAAATGGCTGGTAAGAAGCATTTTCCTTTGAAGTAGTTCTCGCTACTTTAAAGTTTTTTTCCACCTTAATTTACTTTACGGTAGTTTTGGTTAGTACCATAAACGTTCCAAATACTAAAATAATAACTTTTAAGTTATTAACTTTGTAGTTTTTAACTCATGTTCCAGTTTCGAGATTTTAACTTGCAAAGGGAAAAGTAACTATAATGTAATCGTTAGGTATCAACCGAAAGTAAATGCTACAAATTAAATTTAGTTTTTTTTATTTATAACACCTTTTTTAAAGTTACAAAAATGCTGCTTGGGACACGAAGTAGTACTTGGCTGAATGGAATACAACAATTTATCTTCAAGGCACAATTTTATTTGACAAACTAACCCGATTGGTTAGTAACGAGTGTTGAAATTAGACGTTCAAGGAACCGGATCGGAACCGGATCAGAACCGGAATCGGAACCAAAGGGTGCAGTGTAGATTTGGATAGAAAAAACAGTGAAGCAGATACTGCGTAAAGCGGGATCCTGCTTTATTAATAAAGGGACCAAAAACATCAATTTTTCCTTGAGAAGAAAGTGTATATCTATGCTAAAATGGTCAAAATATATAGATAGACCCCTTTGTGTATTACAATTTTCAACGATTATCTTTAAAACAATCTGTGGCAAAGGAGCAGAGTCTCGGCCAAACAAAACTACATACATACAGACCCCTTTGTGGCGGAATGGTATGATGTGAAGACCCAGTCAGCTTATTATATAAACTATTTTTTACTAAAAATAAAAACGGAGGGGAGCAAATAAGCATTTTCATTTGATCTACTTTGTCACGTCACGTTGATAAACCCTCCCCCCGTTTGAGAAATATCGTGACGAACCTTCAAATAATGAACAGTCATAGTAACGATAAATACTACCGTGAAGAAAATTAAAATATCGTCGTTTCATTGGACAGAAACCGTGGAGAAAGATATTTTTTTCTCATTTTAAGACTAAGCGACTTTCTCAATTGAAAACGTATCGGAAATGTACAAATTCTTTAATATGATTAGGGAAACGATTTGTCGCCACTGTTAAAGGTAAAAAAATAGCAATAATAACAAAATATTTTTAAATTAGACTGGATAGTATAAATATAAGTAACTATTAAAATTTTATTGTTTTATAATATTATATAAAATATAGAAACATATTAATTAAAAAGACCTCGATCATAAAAGAAGTTTAAACTGTTTCTAACTCAACCCAAAAAGATACGGTAGGTATATCATTTGTATAAATCACTAGGGAAAAACAAGATGATACCTTAATATTTAATATTTTAAACTCTGTACGTGAAAAATATAAAAAAACTAATTTAATATAAACAATTTAGTTTATCAAGATACTACTAAACATCCCAATTTGGGTTGTGGAATTGATTTGTTTAATTTAGTTCTTAACTATTTTGCATAATTTCACAAAAGTGATCCGTGAATAATAGGGTGGTCGTTAAAAATTCATTTTTTTGCGACGCCCCCTAAATAGCTTCGTTTTGATGAAAAAACACTGGATTTTTTTTTATTTTTTTTAATTAAAGACAACACGTGCGTCAAGACGATCTAAGTTTTGAGATTTAAAAGTTATTAACATTGTTAGATATTAAAAATTACGTTTGTACTAATTTAGTTTTAAAATAAAAATATCAGTTTGTTTAATACACCAAATCAACTGGAAAAAATTTTGAATTTAATTTTTGTCTATTGTTATTTTGATTAACTATTGTTTTTTTATCGATTTTATTTTTCATAAAAAATTGCCAAAAAAACATGATTATACCAAAAAATTAACTTAGATCGTCTTGAGGCACGTGTTGTTTTTAATTAAAAAAATAAAAAAATCCCAGTGTTTTTTCATAAAAACGAAGCTTTTTAGGGGGCGTAGTAAAAAATTTAATTTTTAACGACCACCCTAGTGAATAGGGGAAGGTGGGGGAATTTTGCGCGGTGGGTAATTTTACGCATAAACAATTCTTCCAGATATGAAGTAAATAATACATTTTTTGAATGTTGCAAACTTGGAAACGTTGCTTTGGGTATACGGGGACTAAAGTGTACCGCAATTAAGCTTGTAGCTTTTAGCTAGTGACCATGGTCTGTCCAATCGCTTAAATGTTAAAACACAACTTTATATGATCTTTCCTCGTAATCTGGTGTATGTTTAAATTGTTCAGGTTAACTTTTGGAATGTTTTTTAGTATCACAATATTTTTTTTGCAATGGGGGTAATTTTACGCTGAAAAATTGGGGTAATTTTGCGCTGCAAAATTTGGCCAATATGGAAGCTTTTGGTACAGGAGCCTAGATTGTTCATCATAAACAGTTCCATTTGGGCACACGCGGAGTGTAGCGTAAAAAACAACCCCTAAAACTACATATGTGACAACTGCTGCATGTAGACCCTCTTATTTCTAAGAACAAAAATTATATTTTTAGTTATTTATTTTTGATCTTGTTTGTTTTGTTTGTTTCATAGAGAAAATAGTTTGGTTTTATTTTTATGTTTTAATATAATAATATTATAGAAATAAACGGTTTATTTAGATACCTACAAATCTTTCTCTATACAGCTCAAATTTTCCCCCTATGATGCGCAAAATTACCCTGATAGGTGGGTAATTTTGCGCAAATGCATTATTAAAAAAAAATGTAGTTTTTGCATACCATACAATTTTTTTTTATAAATTGCGCATTATATACACATAGTAAACATAGTAGACTATCGCTGGTATTAATTGCAAAATTTCACATTTAAACTTAACAAAGATACTAGAGATTTCGCTTAGATGCGCAGAATTCCCCCACCTTCCCCTAAACTAAGAATACTCACTCCACCCCATCCCAGGGCACGTGCGAGGTCATTGCCGGTTCCGAGCGGAAGAACTCCCACAGGTGGTCTGGGATGAATGTCGATTTTGTCGATTACGTCCAGAACCCATCCGACGGTGCCGTCGCCTCCGCATGCCAGCACCCGCAGGTTAGGCACCCGTTTGTACAGCTCCAAACCGAGATTCGGACCGCCGACAGTCAGATCGAATACTTGACGGGGGTTCAGAAGCCACTGGAATTTGTGTGTCAACATCAAACCCTGGTTGCCGCCCGATTTCGGATTTATGAAAATTATTATCGGTATTATGAACATAGTTGGTATCGGCTTGATTATAAAACTTAACAGGGCCATTTCGATATCCTGTAACAAAAAATATTTATTTATAAATACATGCCTTTTATCATATTTAAGATATTAAAAGCTGAATTCTTTAAAAGTGGGACAAATAATATATGTATTAGTAAACAACTAAACAATAATATAAAATAATATACCTATTTGCGAAATAATAATTTACGAAATAACTACATTTTTGGGCATAACATAAAGGTTGAAAAAAAAAACAGTAGTAGATTCCTTGATAAAAAATAATAGTTCTTTTATGTTGCTTTGTAGGTGGCGGACATCTAAATATTCCCATAGGGTTTTATATAAAAACCACGACTGAAAAAAAATTGAATATTTATTTTTTTAAATTGTCTTTTAATTTCAAACTAAACTTTCTTCATCTTACTTTTCTTGTAATTCTCAGTTTTCCTGTAAATAAACCTACAGCCTAAACAGGTAATTCAATTTTACAGGGACATAATCATGTATGCCATGATTTCGTGGCATTAACAATAAACAATAGCCAAAATTTATTTCCTTATCTATTTATCTTAATATGTAATTGTGTATTGTTATTTTTTTGTCGGCAAGGAAATTTATTACGAACACTCGGTCTTCATGGGATTTCTAGTAGTGTGGGACTTTGTAACAAACGTATACCCACTAAAACTCTCTAGAGTGGGTGGTTCAGAAATTTGCACTGCGGTTTTCGCAATCATATTGTGCCCCAGACGGTATTACTTCCATAGTCACAGCTATGTTGCTTTCCTAGACCTTTTGAGGCGTCGATAAAATATCGACTGGTGCCACATGTGGGTTAAGCTACGGTCTATCTACTGCGTAGTCCGTACGCGGAGACTCCGCGTACGGACTACTCCGCGGCGGAGTAGGCATTGCGTAACGCAATTTGCGTTGTGTGCTTCACATGTCTGTGAGTGGATGGCTCCGTGAAGCGCATGGACGTTAAAACTTGTTTCTGGTCAAAATGGTACATTGAAACCGAGACCATTAAGGCTTTTTGCCACCAAGAAAGAAGAAGAAGAAGATTGTGGTGGTCTATTTAGAGTGCGTCTTGCGCAATTGGAAATTATTTTTATTTAATTTATTTATTTAGTTTTCTCTTAAGTGTATGCATGTACGTATATTGTTGTTTATTAAAAAGGAGAAGAACCGAAGGGACCTTTAAATGTTTTAGTTGAAAACCAGCTAATGACCAAATTTCGTCTTGCTCTTTTGTGAATTTGCAAAACAAACTTTTGAGTTGTCATAATAAGTATTTGCTTTTTTTAATTAACAAAACCAAGTGCTTCTCTCACTGAAATATTTTTAACCTACGTGCTTCTTCCACGGACATTTTTATAATCTGCGTCGTCGAAATCGCCCCCCAGGCAATAGCGACGCATGGACGCAACGGACGATTTTGTTACGCATGCAGAGTGCACACCACATAAAGCAGACACATTAATAAACACACAAAGTAATACCTGCGGAGTCCGCAAGAGTCTCCGCATTGCGTACTCCGCGTGCGGAGTACACAGTAGTTAGACCGTACCTTTACCGCCCCATTAGGCTTCCAAATATATAAAAAAATGTGCCAAATTGCAGCTCTTAATTTTAAAATTAAGCCGGCCCTCCCGACAGCCAAAGTTTTAAATGGAAATAACTTGGGAAAAGTTTTGTTATTACTTTGGATTTTTTTAAGTCATGAACTAATAAACGGATTATATAGAAGGATAAATATTCTTGTAACAAATTTAAAGCTGTACAAAAAAGGTTTCTTGTGATTTTTTGCTTAACTTCAAAAGTTATTCGAGGTGAAAATGGAAGTTCTAGTAAATTCTATGTTTTTTTCCATTTTCAACGTGGTTTAATGATTCAAAAATGTAAAAAGGGTTATAATTTATATTTTAGATGGTTCTATTTTTTAGAAAACTTTCAGGGTAATCGTTACCCTAAAAAGTTAGTTACACCAATTGTTTTTTTTATTTTAGCTATTGTTAAAAGATTTTGATTTTAATTGGTAAAAATTTTGATAAACTCTAGTTTTAAATTCAAACTTATTAATAAAAACATTGCTGTGGCTTCCGTCCCGAGGCGGGACTTAAGTTTAGTCCCGAGTGACATAATTTTAAGATTTGTTATGTTACGATAAAACTAAAACAAACCAACCAACCCAACCCAACACTTTTTAACAAAAGAACAACAAATTTATAAAATAAAAAAATAAAAAAAGTTCGACAACTTCTAGTAGTATCGAACCCGTTACCTCTAGCATGCCAAGCGACAGCCTTACCATCTGGTATTTTTTTTAATCCATTGAAATTTTAATAATATTTAATCATATATTATATCACGAGAACTATGAATTTAATCGGGTAAACTAGGCTCAGTAGTTTTTTGTTTGGTTTTTGTTGGAAAATGTTGAATGCAAAATAATTTAATAAAATCACGAGACCGCGTAGCGGTCGAGGGGTTTTATTTTTAATTATTTTGCATGAAACTATTTTCCAAAAAGAAAAATCAAATAAAAAACTTACTGAGCATAGTTTGACAGATTAAATTTATAGGTTGAGTGATATACGTCTAGATTATTTCTCGAATTAAAGAAACTATTTGACCATTCATAAAATCTGACGTATGTGTCAAAGTTTATAAATATTTTTTTAAAGAAAATTCCATTAATTAAAGGTATGTAATAAGTAATAATTGATATTTTGTAAACTGGATAACTTATTTTTTATTGTTTTTTAAAAAATGTTTGTTAAAACTTGTAAATAACACCATAAAATCGTAAACAAAAATCCAATATGGAGGCTAAAATTTAATCGCTGTTAAAAAGGTCTAGTGATTTAATCGCTTATTTAAACGAAATTTATTCGAAAATTCAAGGCTTTTGATTGGTTCATATTATATTGAGCGAAATAATCAATAAATATTTTTCTTTTTAGAGCAAACGTCAAGATAAGAAAACTCATCTAGAATATAAATTATAACCCTTTTTACATTTTTGAATCATCAAACCACAATAAAAATGGAAAAACCATGGAATTGACTAGAACTTTGATTTTGACCTCAAATAACTTTTGAACCAGTCAAGTTAGCAAAAAATCACAAGAAACCTTTTTTGTAGAGCGTTAAATTTGTTACAAGAATATTTATCTTTCTATATAATCCGTTTACTAGTTAATGACTTAAAAAAATCCAAAGTAATAACAGAACTTTTTTGGTTGTTTCACTGTTAGTCTAGAATGGGGTTTTTGGGAAGCCAGGTCTAGTAATAACATAACATAAGTGGTTCTGCACTAATTTTAAGAAATCATACATTTTGAATATTAGAGCTTCACGGAAGATATCTTCACGGAGGTTGGGATTTCGTATGTTTTTTTTAACCTTTGTATATTTAAAATAAGTTATTGTATCTTTTGACACCTTAATATTTTTTTAAAATGCAATTGTACTTACATAAAATATTTATAAAAAAATCTACTTAACACTTACATAGGTAAATGGTTATAAAAATTATTTCTTTTAATTTTTAATGATATTTTATATTCGATTCGATTGCTTTGGATGGGTTTAATTTACTTGGTGATATTTTTAGTATGCTTTTACTACCTCAGATATTTGAAAACATATAGGTTAACCTATAAAGAGTAACAGTCACGGAGAATATGTTTTAGACTTTTAAAACATTGTAAAAAATAATTAATTGCGGTTAAAAATATGGAACCTGAGCTGTAATATCTACTTAATTATGAAAGATCAAAACACAATAAAAGTGTAGGTCAAACTCATCGGGGGACATTTCGTGAGATTTACCCACATATATTATTTATTGAATTATAAAAATTGGTAAATGCAAAAAAATGATACCCTAAAAATTTTTTTGCCAGTACCTTTTCCGGTATAAGGGCCCCTACCAGATTTTTGATACGAGGCCCCCTTGAGGCTAGCTACGCCACTGATGGGGATACCTAAAAATTAACTTTGCTTTAAAAGAAATAATAGTAAATAAAAAAACTAACCTAACCAAACACGCCTCCTTAATTGTATTTTGATTTTTCCCTAGTATTGCCATTTGAGCAATTAATTTGCTTCCTGCCGATATTTTCACACCACACAAACAATTTCGCCAATTCTGCTATCTTCCCGATTTACAGGCATTGAGGAGAATCCCAGATTATAATCTATATATACTATAGTATATTATTTTTACGTACTTTCGACCTACGCCACGAGTCCCTACCATTTGGCAACATCGCTGGGTCTCGGGACGTTGGTTGAATATGGTTATGCAGTATAAACGGGCGCGAGAAGTCGGTAAAATGATGCGGGTTTAAAAAGTGTTATTCAGTTTGCAACTTTTTTTGTAAAAAGAAAATGTTTCCCCTTGAAGCATGCTTATTGAGTTATATTCTTTAAAAGCTTATTTACGGTTTATATACTCGCCTAAATTACCTGGATCAAGTGGGTCTTAGGTAGCCTGTATAATGTACCGGGACTGAAAACGTGGACCGGATAGATATATGTATATATATATATATATATATTGGGCATACAAATGTATGCCCCATTATGTACCACTTTTAAAGAATTCAGATTATAATATTGATTTTAAAAATAAATAATACACAAGTTATACCTAGAAGATCATTCTTTATTGTTTCATAAAAATACAAACCCATCCAGACTTTTTATTTTATTTTCGGAGTTTCCTTTGTATTATTATTAACCTTTGATGTTAAAATGCATTTAGGATTTTTGGGTTAAAATGTTTAAAGCAATTATGTAAAATGACAGGTCATTTAATAATTAAATTGGCTTTCATAACATTTGCATTTTCACTCCATTTACCCTCTGAATATGCTTTATTTAAAAAATAGACGTCTGCTAGGGTTTTATCTCCACAGAACACTAAGTGCGATAGAAAATGCCATGCTTTGATTGGTATATTGTTTTCTATAAATTTTCTTTCAAATGTTATAAATATGTTGTCATAAATGATTTAATATAAAATATAAAACTAACCTTTTCTCTTCCTTTCTTTTTAGAACGTCTTTTCTTGGATGTTTTTCTTAAACTTGATTTAAAGTTTCCTCTCTCAGGCAGTTTAATAATCCACGATGGAGGGACTATAATACCAGCATGAACACCTGAAATAGAAATATTTTTTGTATTATTCTCGCAAAATATACTTAAAACCCTTAGGCTACTTTATTTATCGATTTTGTTTATATGATCAAAAACAAAGCCCTGCAAAATAAAACTTTTTGTTTCGATCTCTATAAAAAACTTTATAAAACTCTTTTTAATTCGATTACGATCCAGAAGAACACTTAGAAGTGTTTGCATTTTAAATCTTCCATGCATGTAAATAATAAAACAATCTTTTGCGTTAAAATGTATAAAAAATATTTGATATTATTTCTTTTATCTACTCCTATTAGGTACTTATCATTGTTTTTTTGTAAATAATAATAAACATTATAAATTCCTCGCCTAACAACGGGAATAATGAACTCATTATTTATGTTGTAAGGCATCAGTAATTGGCCGATTTCATTATTCACTGTGATTTGAACCAATCGGGTTTTAAATTGGTAGAAGGCGACTAGAATAAGTAAGAAGATTATATTCAGGAGGTTCAACTACATACAAATTCGAGGATTGGGGTCCATAAGAACGTCGCACGTGTATGATGACCGAGAACGTAAAATTGAGTTCTGCGCATCGCCCTCCCTATCCTTTGCAGAAAAAGAAGTTATTTTTAACCTCTTTTATTTTGTGCATCTGTCAAGCGTCAAACGATTGTATACATGTAATATAATTATATTATATTTTATATTGCAATACGTTACAATGTTAGTAGTAAACAGAACAGCTTGTTAAAACATTAAGTACATTTATTACGTCATGGGAGCAGTAAAAGTTTACGTTTAACGATGTTAATTTGGTCGTCAGTAATGCATTTTTACCTATAAAATGACTGAATTTTACATTGTAAGTCAATTGCTCTTTAGTGTAATCATTACACTGTAATGTTTCATTGTAAACTTACTGATGGTATTTCAAATAACTTATGTGCAAGTTTTTCATCCCTTGACAAATTAAAACAATTTTTAACACAGCACAAACATCCCATTCTCAAATAATAATAATAAAATTAAAATAAAACCAAAAGTACTTGTCAATAAACCTTCTTTATCTCTGTTGTTAATCTTCCAACCCATGCGTGCATGTGAGCTTTTATAATCTGTGCACGTGAGTCGACGATCTATGTGCGGTTGATTAATAATCATTTGTGCGCATTGTACACTTTCCCTTTCTTATCCCGCTGCCAAAAGACGCGTTTCCTATAGATTATATACAGGATCTTCAACTTCGCATAGAGAATATATCTATTCTTATATGTGGATTGAATATAATATTCCTAATAATAACATTTAAAATTGGTAAAAAGTAAAGTTAATTATTTGACAGATGTGAGATTTTATTTATTTATTTTTAAAAACCATTTAATTATCTACTTATTGGAGTAGATAATGCACATTTTAAACTCGGATGATTGAAGTCTCTGGTCTGGGGACTCGAGACTCAAACATTATCCTTGTGCTCTTTGAAAAATGACAACTTTTGTGATATCACTGATATGTAGTATGTAAAACAAATATTAGAAATATTCCCCAATAGCAAAACAAAACACAAAGTGCTTAAAGTACTTTTCGCCAACGATGTTGGCATCTTCAGAAGCGTAGTGAAACTAAATCTAATTGCTTAATCTACCATATTTATACTAATTATAAACTAAGGTTGACTGAACCGTAAACGGAAGAATCAACTTGAGGTCTGAAAGGGATGTTTCGAAAACTGGACTTCAAAATTGCTTTTAGTTCAAGCAATACACACTCCAGACCCTTTTAGGTAACCCAAAAGATAAGATTCCTAAAAATGAAGTCGGGGATCTACGAAATAAACTGTCAAGATTGTGACAAGAAATATGTTGCACAAACTAAACGATCCATCCAAGTAAGGTTCAAAGAACACTTGGCCCATGCTAGATTTGGTAGGACAAAGAAATCGAGTGTTGCCCTCCATATATATAAGCATACTTGATGATGGTCATAGAATAGGATTTGAGAACCTTAAACTTATCAAGGAAGTTAGGAAACCAAGACTGCTAGATAGTTATGAAAGTTTATACATCTATAAGAATAGAAATAAATCTTTAAATAGCGATAACGGACCGGTACCCAACTCAAATTGGTATAAATTAGTTTGTTAGTTTCTTTTTACGTGTTCACTGAAGCGGTTACGGTTCACAGTTTAGTAAACTTCGTTTACGGTTTAGTCAACCTTAGCTTGTAATTAGTATAAATATGGTAGATTCAGCAGTAAGATTTAGTTCCACTTCGCTTCTGAAGATGCCAACATCGTTGGCGAAAAGTACTTTAAGCACTTTGTGTTTTGTTTTGGTGTTGGGGAATATTTTTAATATTTGCTTATCCTCGTGAATAAAAGCGTGCATTATCTCTCGTATAATTATACAGGGTGTCCCAGAACTCGCGCCACAGAGAAAAAGAAATCGTGCCGAAAGTTACGCGAAACACATGCTTGAAAATTAAAAATATCTAACGCAAAGCATAAGCAAAAATAAAAAACGATAGTCAATCTCAATACTGTAACGGGGGTTTTTGTGTCGCGTGCTTGTGGTTCCTATACTTTTACTGCCTATTCTTTGGTTGGCCTACGGGAGCTTTTGGGTGTATGGAACCCGTTACAAATTACTAATCTAATCTGACCTTTTAATCCGGTGAAGATCGTCGTGGCTTCGGCTGGAGGATGTCGGTGAGACGAGTCGAAGGCGAAGGAATCCTATATGTATATTGACACACTTAACTCACTCGCGAACCGCGCGGAAAACTTCTACACGATTACCGTTCACTATATACTTACTTTCGACTTAACTTGATTCAGGGTATTTCTTATACAACAGACAGAGCAATAAAGCGATATTTCAAACCATATAAATATATTAACAAATAAAGAGTTAACAATAAAAATGAAAAGATATAAACAAGTAAAATTAAGTTAAATAAAATTAAAAAAAGGGATAATTAAAGTTACTCCAGAGATTTAATTTACAAGAACTAGTTTACAGAACAAATTAGAACTCTAGATTAAGAAATTTAATTAAAAGTAAACTAAAGGAAAATGTAACAAATAATTAACTAAGCAAATGCGCGGGGCGAGTTACTCTAAAGAGTAAGTAACTATAATTAAACAAACTATTCGGAGTGACTCTAAGATAAACAAGTTGGTTTGAAATATAATAATTACTATAGGTACCTTACACTGAATCAAATGAAGTTGGCGAGGATCTACGACCGATTTGGGAAGCGCGATAAAATTTAGATAAGAACTGACGATTCAAAGGTCGTGTTGGTTTTTTATAGACTAATTTACGAAAAAATTGGAAGGGATTAATTCTTAAAGACCATTGGTCAAAATCGTGGCAACTCCCCCCCCGCAAGGGTCATAGAAAATTGACTGGTTCAAAAGGTCATAAAATCTCATACCAACCGAAAAGGGCGAAAGGTTATTGGTTTTAATCTAAGCGATTCAGTAATTCTTAAGGGAGGAGGCGTTACCCTTTGACTTAAGTCGGAAACTCGGCTATGTGAAAGGTCGGGAACAAACAAGGTGGGAATTTTACTAGGCATTGGGCGGAGTTTTCGCCATTGTCGCCAACTTCAAGATAAACTATAATTTACTAGATTTGATAATAATCTTACGATGATTTAAAAGTAACCAAGGTTGCCTAATGATTGAATCGACTGTTTTTATATCTGGTTATTAAATCACATTAACTGAGTTTGATTTTATTGGGCATTTCCTTGGTTCAAACCATGCTTAGGATTTTTATCCATCTACCCTTAATTTATATTGGCTGATCGAGACTTATCTTTTAATAAGCAGCCACGCTTTCATATTCACAATACAATCTACCTAATCTTACGTTTTATTTCTAGTCTATAATCTCCTATTTCTAATCTATAATCTCCATTTTTCTAAGTTTAGTTTTCAACTGAATCAATTCGTTACTTTCTTTAATTATATTAATTTTATTATATTTTTAACGCGTTTCATCTAGTTCTTAAAATGCTTCGTTTAAAAAAAGTGTTGCTGCCATATGTTTGGCGGCTTTGGCAAAATACAGATAGTCTGCAATATGGATTTATGGCTTTATGGCCTCGAGGGGAATTTTCTTTTAACACGACCCTATAAAGTTGTTTTTGACTTTACATTTAAAATCCTTTTCAAAATTTCTTATTTTGCACATGTTAAAGCTTTCTAAACTTTTCTAAGAAACTCTTAATTTCTAGTTTTTCCACGAATTATTTTAACGGTTTTTTCGAACTTTCTCCCTGTTACAATACATGTCCATAGGGAATTATTTAAATTGCTAGGATACTTAGGATGTATTGTTGATAGATATTATATCTTATATGTAAAATATATTTTCTACGACCACTATGTAAAAGTCACATTTCGTAATGGCATCATTGCTTTTCATTGGCAAGGCAAAACACGAATGTAAAGTGACATTTCTGTGTGAAAAGTGACAGGTCTGTATGAAAAGAAATTAACAGCATCGTTTGACATTCATTTCAAAATTGGTATTGTATGTCTAAATATCATTTAGAACACAATTAATTCTGTTTTTAAAATAAATTCTAATTTTTAGTGCCTTTATTTAAATTGAGAAGGTTCGTTTATTGATTTTAAAATCAATAAAAATTAAAAGAATAAGATGAAAGTAATTTTAACAACTGTCAAACACATTTTAAGGTTATTTTGTTTTGTATTTGAAAATAAAAAGTTCGTAGAAAAAACATAGTGTTTCACTTGTGAGAAAAGCTTTTTTCAAGCTCGTGTTAATGCACACTCGGCCTAACGGCCTCGTGAGCAACTTAAACACTCGCATGATTTTCAACACTTGTAAAACAAATAACTATTGTCGATTGAAATCCACATCATTGTAACACTGCTGTCAATTTTTGTTCCTGTCATTATTTATCATTTTAAGATATGTTTTCTCCCTCTGATTATGCCGAAATTATGATTATTTATGGGGAGTATGGGCGCAATGCTA